AGCATACCAGGTCAGGGGGGGTGCGGAGAAAAAAATTTGGGGGAGCTGAAATTTTTCTTTCATGAAAACTAATTTTCACTCTTGGTCATTGAAGGACACTGGGGGGAGGTCTCTAGATCCTGACCAAGTGTGTGTCCTGCTCCTGAAGGTGGCACCATAACCCATTTGGTCAAGATCTAGAGATTTCCGCTGCGTCCTTCAATGAGTGCAGAGAAAAGGATTTTGGGTGAGCTCCAAAGTCCGATTTCCATCCAATCCCGAACTGTCCAGGTGAATCCCGGACAGGTGGCAACCCTATAGCCGGACTCGGCAGCTCTTTGTTTGCCCGATGAAAGGACCAAACGTGTACCGAAACGTCGCCGTGCTGCGACACCGCAGAGGCCAACAAAATATTCACTCAACTCGAGCTGGAGTGCGAGTGACTTCTTCATACTCGGAAGAAAGTCACGGCTGGCTGGCTGGCGAAACGTCTCCCGTTTGGGATTGTTTTTGTTGCCGATCATTTCCCGGTTTTTATTACTTTGCAGACGCAGAAAATTAGAACAAGTTGCAAAATATTAACAATCGGTTACAAAGCCGTCCACAACTCCGCCCCCGGCTATATCTCCAACCTGGTCTCAAAGTATCACCCTAACCGTCCCCTCTTCCCAAGACCTCCTGCTTTCCAGCTCCATTGTCAACTCTTCCCATGCTCGCCTCCAGGACTTCTCTAGAGTCTCTGCCATCCTCTGGAACTCCTTACCCCAACCTGTCTATCTCCCACCTTGACTGCCTTTAGGCGATCCCTAAAGACTCATCTCCTCAGGGAAGCCGATCCCTCCTCAACCTAACCGCTCAACCATTCATCCCCACACAGCTCCCTCCTCATGTATCACTGGCCCCTCCCTTCTAGATTGTAAGCCCTCAGGGGCGGGGCCCTCCTTACCATCTTGTCTTGAATTGTATTGTGATTGTAATGTCTTCCTTATATTGTAAAGCGCTGCTCTATATAAATCCTGTATTTTCACAACTGCGCCAATCCAGCCCATACCGCGTTCCGGATCCTTCAAAGAGATTCCACAAAAATGGTGGCAAAGCAAAGATTGGCCGTCTACCCGAACCCTCCCGCCAGCGGCCAATCACAAGGCAGTTCTGGGCTCCCAATTGTAAACGCAACCAAATGCATTAAAGTAGATAGAAGCTCAGAACAAAGGAAGACGTGGAGCCGCCACACACCGCTTCCAGTCCCGCGTGCAAAACTTTATTGAGCATGTGGCAAAGACACTCAACCTGTTCCCTGTGATATATTTCACCCCCCAACACGGGGGGCCCGATCCTGGTCTAGTTTTGTTGTAGCTGTAGTCTATGCGTTTCACAAAAGAGGGTGAAACGCGTCAGCTGGCCGGGACTGTTGGATTGTGGCTCTCACTGGCACTACATCTTTGTGTTTGCAGCAAGAGGAGATATGATGAGGCCGGGGGATCAGCGAGCGACCGGGGTTAGTGGGTGGCTTGAGGCTTTCAAATAGTGATTGAATTTGCTAAAAGGCCCCGAGTATCGTAAAATATTCCCTTCATTTAGAAATAAAATTCACCTTTTTTCAAAAAAAGAATTTCTATCTTGCTGCTACCCATCTCCTGTGGCCTCTTTGCATCCACTTCCTGTCTGCATGCACTCCAGCGATGGCTGCATAGCGTTTTTCAGGGAGGGTTTCCTGATGGTGACAAGTCTCCACCGGAAGCCCATGTGACAGGGTGACAACAAAGCAGCACAATTGGGGCAGAGCGTTGTCACCCTATAACAGAAAGTGCCTGAACAAGGAGAGAGCGTTGTCACTGTACAACAGGAAGTGTCTGAACAAGACAGAGCGTTGTCACTCTACAACAGGAAGTGTCTGAACAAGGCCAGAGCGTTGTCATCCTGTAACAGGAAGTGTCTGAACAAGGACAGAGCGTTGTCACTCTACAACAGGAAGTGTCTGAACAAGGACAGAGCGTTGTCACTCTTCAACAGGAAGTGTCTGAAGAAGGCCAGAGCGTTGTCACCCTATAATGGGAAGTGTCTGAATAAGGCCAGAGTGCCACGGAATTGCCCACCACAGCCGATCGCGCTGGCGGTGTCATTATCTACTAACGGCACCCAGGTCGCGCCGGGCGGATTGCACGGTTTCCCGCCCGTGTAATTGAACACGATCGCGGCTAAGAAAAAGTGCAAGGGGGATTTGGGTAAAAAAATACAAAAACGCATTACGGCTGTAATGCGTCCCCCTCCGGGTCCCGGGAAAAAAGTCTTGCAGGCGAGGAGGATAAACAAGTCCTGATGTGGCGGAGGCGGGGGGAGGGGAGCGGAGGCAGCGCGGGGATCCTGTAGTCAGGTCACAGCCCAGCGGGTCTAATCCTTCTCTCCATCAATGGGACTCTGTGCATTAAGCCGGATCGGGTCTCTGCGGAGAGCCGGTTATATAATGTCATCTCTCAGGAGGAGGCACATGCACAGCCTTGCCCGAGCCTCCCACGTCACACCGATTAACCACTCTTCTCGGCTGTTTGCCGCGCAGCCACGCCGGGGTCAGCCGGCCTGGAGGATGCCGCCGCCGCGATCAGTGACCGCTTAAGGGGAAGGAGATTATATTCTGGTAGCTGTATGTGGGGTACCCTGCGGGCCAAGCTGTCCAGGGGGGGTAGTTCTGACATAGAAGTGTCGCACCGCAAGATATTATTACCCCACATAGAGGATCCAATGAGGAATATCATGCATTTTGTGGGGGAGGGGGCACCCCCTCAGATCACCCCAATTCCTGCACCTTCACCCCTCAGATCACCCCATTTCCTGCACCTTCCCCCCTCAGATCACCCCATTTCCTGCACCTTCCCCCCTCAGATCACCCCATTTCCTGCACCTTCCCCCCTCAGATCACCCCATTTCCTGCACCTTCCCCCCTCAGATCACCCCATTTCCTGCACCTTCCCCCCTCAGATCACCCCATTTCCTGCACCTTCCCCCCTCAGATCACCCCATTTCCTGCACCTTCCCCCCTCAGATCACCCCATTTCCTGCACCTTCCCCCCTCAGATCACCCCATTTCCTGCACCTTCCCCCCTCAGATCACCCCATTTCCTGCACCTTCCCCCCTCAGATCACCCCATTTCCTGCACCTTCCCCCCTCAGATCACCCCATTTCCTGCACCTTCCCCCCTCAGATCACCCCATTTCCTGCACCTTCCCCCCTCAGATCACCCCATTTCCTGCACCTTCCCCCCTCAGATCACCCCATTTCCTGCACCTTCCCCCCTCAGATCACCCCATTTCCTGCACCTTCCCCCCTCAGATCACCCCATTTCCTGCACCTTCCCCCCTCAGATCACCCCATTTCCTGCACCTTCCCCCCTCAGATCACCCCATTTCCTGCACCTTCCCCCCTCAGATCACCCCATTTCCTGCACCTTCCCCCCTCAGATCACCCCATTTCCTGCACCTTCCCCCCTCAGATCACCCCATTTCCTGCACCTTCCCCCCTCAGATCACCCCATTTCCTGCACCTTCCCCCCTCAGATCACCCCATTTCCTGCACCTTCCCCCCTCAGATCACCCCATTTCCTGCACCTTCCCCCCTCAGATCACCCCATTTCCTGCACCTTCCCCCCTCAGATCACCCCATTTCCTGCACCTTCCCCCCTCAGATCACCCCATTTCCTGCACCTTCCCCCCTCAGATCACCCCATTTCCTGCACCTTCCCCCCTCAGATCACCCCATTTCCTGCACCTTCCCCCCTCAGATCACCCCATTTCCTGCACCTTCCCCCCTCAGATCACCCCATTTCCTGCACCTTCCCCCCTCAGATCACCCCATTTCCTGCACCTTCCCCCCTCAGATCACCCCATTTCCTGCACCTTCCCCCCTCAGATCACCCCATTTCCTGCACCTTCCCCCCTCAGATCACCCCATTTCCTGCACCTTCCCCCCTCAGATCACCCCATTTCCTGCACCTTCCCCCCTCAGATCACCCCATTTCCTGCACCTTCCCCCCTCAGATCACCCCATTTCCTGCACCTTCCCCCCTCAGATCACCCCATTTCCTGCACCTTCCCCCCTCAGATCACCCCATTTCCTGCACCTTCCCCCCTCAGATCACCCCATTTCCTGCACCTTCCCCCCTCAGATCACCCCATTTCCTGCACCTTCCCCCCTCAGATCACCCCATTTCCTGCACCTTCCCCCCTCAGATCACCCCATTTCCTGCACCTTCCCCCCTCAGATCACCCCATTTCCTGCACCTTCCCCCCTCAGATCACCCCATTTCCTGCACCTTCCCCCCTCAGATCACCCCATTTCCTGCACCTTCCCCCCTCAGATCACCCCATTTCCTGCACCTTCCCCCCTCAGATCACCCCATTTCCTGCACCTTCCCCCCTCAGATCACCCCATTTCCTGCACCTTCCCCCCTCAGATCACCCCATTTCCTGCACCTTCCCCCCTCAGATCACCCCATTTCCTGCACCTTCCCCCCTCAGATCACCCCATTTCCTGCACCTTCCCCCCTCAGATCACCCCATTTCCTGCACCTTCCCCCCTCAGATCACCCCATTTCCTGCACCTTCCCCCCTCAGATCACCCCATTTCCTGCACCTTCCCCCCTCAGATCACCCCATTTCCTGCACCTTCCCCCCTCAGATCACCCCATTTCCTGCACCTTCCCCCCTCAGATCACCCCATTTCCTGCACCTTCCCCCCTCAGATCACCCCATTTCCTGCACCTTCCCCCCTCAGATCACCCCATTTCCTGCACCTTCCCCCCTCAGATCACCCCATTTCCTGCACCTTCCCCCCTCAGATCACCCCATTTCCTGCACCTTCCCCCCTCAGATCACCCCATTTCCTGCACCTTCCCCCCTCAGATCACCCCATTTCCTGCACCTTCCCCCCTCAGATCACCCCATTTCCTGCACCTTCCCCCCTCAGATCACCCCATTTCCTGCACCTTCCCCCCTCAGATCACCCCATTTCCTGCACCTTCCCCCCTCAGATCACCCCATTTCCTGCACCTTCCCCCCTCAGATCACCCCATTTCCTGCACCTTCCCCCCTCAGATCACCCCATTTCCTGCACCTTCCCCCCTCAGATCACCCCATTTCCTGCACCTTCCCCCCTCAGATCACCCCAATACCCGCACCTTCTCCCCTCTGATCACCCCAATTCCTGCACCTTCACCCCTCACATCACCCCATTTCCTGCAGGGCTTAAATATGGAGGTTCAAATGAGGAATCCAGCATTGCCCCCTTCATCCACAGGACACAACGTGTTCACACTCCATAGTTAACAGTCCAGATACAATGTCAGGTCAGATAGAGGAACACATGAGGAATAAGACGCATTTCAGGGAGGCCAACATGGCCCCTAAACCATTGCCCTCTGTGCCGGACACTATACTGGTCTAAATGCCCCTAACGGTGCGCTGGTCTATACCTGGACAATACACATGGGCCCTGCTGAAGGGGGGTGGGGGTGGGGGCGATGTTCCTCCCTCAATTGTCTCCTGATTCCACGCTTCCATCTTTTTCTGGATTTCCAGAAGGAAATGTTTGGAAGCTGGAAACGCGTAGAGTGCCGTATACTACTACTCAGGACCAAAGATGGCGGGTGTCCCAGCCCATATGCCACCAATGCCTTTACCCTGAAATAAAGCAGAACAGGAATGCCCCCTCCCCCTCCCCCATAGGTATACATGTTAGCGTACATTTAGTGCCTTTGCAAATGAATGGCACCGCAATGTAAAATGTATCGCCATGCCTCGCAGTGGCGTTTAAACGCTAAGGTTGTAAATGGGCCCCGTCAAGCAAAGTTACTGGACCTTATGTTCTAGGCGTTCCACCGGATCTACTCTCTCTGCTGCCCCCCCTACCCGCCAACCCCCCACCTCCCCCATGGAGAATGGCAGACCTGCAGGCTGCATACAAGTCATGTCAGCGACATCGCCGGGATCACTTGTACAAAACAAGCGGCGGCTTCCCCGCTGTACATTTAGCTCTGCTTGCCCAAAGCCGGGCTACATGTAGAAAACAACTACCCGCCCGGCGCCCGGAACTGCCCCGGGTGTCGGGAGATAGGAATTCCACACCCCTGCTGCCCCTCTTCTCCCTGCTGCCCCTCTACTCCCTGCTGCCCCGAGGCCGGGTCTTGGTTGGCCTTGCGGGAAATCCGGCCCTGCCAACACACACTCACAGACTGATGATCTGATCAAAAGACTTCCCCGCCATTATTATCATGAGGCGAGCACCCAAGGACCGTGATCCCTACCTGTCACCTTGCTTGCCTGAGTATCTTGGGAACCAATCCCAAATATTTTCCGCATAGTACAACAACGCACCAAATAGGAGTAAATATGTATGTCTGGGGAACCCCGGCATGCGCGGTTATGGAAAGATCTTCGGGTGGTCAGACTTTACCTCTGCACCCAACCAGATTTTTGGCTGGTTGGGGACTCTGACATCTGCATTTGGCTTTTATATACAGTGGTACCTCGGTTCACGAACTTAATTCGTTCCACGATTCTGGTCGTGAACCAAATCAAACTGTGATCAGACCGCGATCTCGACTAGAGGAACCCACGACAGAGCGGGGAAGATGGCCGCTGTCCTGTTCATCACCCGATGCGGAGTTCGCGAACGGAAGCAAAATTTTGCCGAACTTCCTGGTCGCGAACCGAATTGTTCGCGAACAGAAGCGATCGTGAACCGAGGTACCAATGTATAAATTTGCATTAGTGAAATAAATGAACTTTGCACCATATTCTAATTATTCGAGTTTCACCTGTATATGCTTCATACATTCATAGTTTCTTGCGCGGGCTGCGTGACGTATCCGTTGCCATTGTCTGTTAGATATCCGCTCGCCGTTTTCGTTGTATTTTATTCATCGTGTCAGCTTTGGTCTTTTTATCAAGTTTATTCATTTTGGTATTTTGAAATCATTGCTTCATTGTATCCTTTTGTCATTCATGTCATTTTATTAATTGTTATTTTTTTATTATATGTATTAATAGTTTTATAGGTTTTTTTATTGCGTGCCGATCTGTTCTGTACGCAGCACTTTTATTTTATTTACTTTTTTGTCTCTTACATAAATACATAATGTATCACAAGATGGTAATTAAGCGTTGGAAGTGAATGCGGCATTATTAACTTTCCTTGTTTGTTTCTTCTTTGCAAACTTTTTTCTTTTGGCCCATCTCTGGCCTAGTTTTTTCCCTCCCTGTCTGCGGCGTGTTTTTTTTTATTATTTCGTGTTCCTCCCATGCTCCTGAAATGTGACGGTTCCCTCCCTGCAGGCTCATGGTGTCCCCGTGACTGTGTCTGCTGCCGCCCTGTGCTCTCCACACCCCAGTGTTGCTCTGTACAGAACAGATGCAGGCAGCATTGCAGGGCACGTGAGCTTCATATGACAGGAACAGCATGCAGCTGGAGCTGCTCAAACCATTATAACTAGCTAAAGGCAGAGCAGAGCTCACACACACATCAGCTCCTGAGCCCGTCCACCTGTACCGTCACCTGTGCACCAGCGCAAATTTTGCACCCTTTTGCCTGAAGCAGCCACCACTCTATGGACATAGCACCCTACTTGGTACCCACAAGGAGCTAGTGTCTCGTCGTCTTGGCATGGAGAGAGTCCCCTGCAGCCAGCCTTCACCACCCTGTCTGGACAGATCCTTGTCTGGGTAAGT